AATTTTTTGAGATTCCCAACATGTTTCACCCAAGGGGACTTCTCCTCCAGTCCCTTATCCAGAGCCAATATCCATTACTGCATACATTGAAAGCCTAGACAAAAATTGTTCAACCACTGGTATAAAACTGGGATCCCTGAGTGACCACAGGGGGTACAAAAGGACCAGATATAAAAATTCTGACACAGACCACAAGAGGGTGCCCACTCCAGAGTCATAGAATGAAACCCAGCTCCACTGAACAAGGACGTTGGAGATGCATGGCGACAGGGCTAACCTTGTGGTTCCAGCAAAAAACCCCACAAAGTTAGCACTGTCGCCGTGCATCACCAGGTATATTGGGTAGCACTGCATAAATGAGAAGCTGACTCTTTATGGTGTTTAATCCTATAATCCTTTGAAAGGCTTCTCACCCATACGGATGTAACATCTGAGTAGGTAGGTGACAGGAGCCCACAATAGAGCCTGGGACAATTCCCAAGGTGACCCAATGTAGTGTATTTATAAGTAGGAATATTCCTACTTTTTATCAACTGCATTGTGTTACTGTTCTTTTGTTGGCACCCCTCATATACCTGCTTAGACATTTCAAAGTGTTGTAGGGAAGCAAAGGCTAAGGAACAGACATTTAAAAAGACACTCAGCTGTTGCAACACACATACTCCCTTTAAGGTGGCCATAGAAATGATTACTGGGTGGCTCCCATGGATATGGACACCTGCAGACATCCCCAGTTGGGTTGGGTTATATAAGGAAAAATAGTAAGTAAGATTTAGTTTTCAGACATAATGACATTTTGATAGTTTCTATGTGCCTGATGGGCACCTGATGTTTATGTTGGCCTTAAACCTAGTTGTTGATCTGCACCTAATCTGGACAATGTTGGAATACTAACTGCTATTTTTCTTCTGCTCTACAGGATAAACGGTGTTCATTAGTGATTTTGCTGCCTCTCCAAGGTGTGGTGATGGGAGATGTTTAGGCTGTACTCTGTCTTGCCTTCTGTTCGTTTACTATGCGCATCCATTGGAAGCGCACAGATGTTAATGGTTAGAATGTTCTATGCCGTGAAAAGAGGACGGAAGCCAGGAATATACAGCACATGGTAAGGGATGCAAAATCTGTGTGCATAACAAAATGCTAGGATTCATTTTATGATATCCTGAAATATTGTGATTCGGGTCATACCTGAGCCTATGAACGCCAGGGAAAAAAGGTGGAGATTCTACCATATTTCTGTAGCAGTATCTAGATCAGGGGTCTCCAAACTATGGCCCTCCAGGTGTTGAGGAACTGCATGTTCCATGAGGCCCTGCTAGACTCTGACAGCCAAGACTCCCAGAGGCATGATGGGACTTGTAGCACTTCAGCTGGAGGGCCATAGTTTTTAGACCACTGATCTAGATGAAAGGAAAAGTGGTTGTAAACTCTTATAGATGGTCAATGAAGTGACTAGCCTCGGGTGGTACTCGGAGATGAAACCGATCCTCCTACATAATCTGTAGCGGTCTATCTGCAGCTCTCTCTTTCCTGTACACCCTTTCAAAGTCCAGAATTTATACAGCTTTCATGAGCTTTCAAAGCAGGGGGTGGGGAGCCGAAGTTGCACTCTGCACAGCTCAGCGAGAGCTGATTGGAGGGAACAGACACACACCCTTTAAAATTGGGACAGGAACATAGCTGAGGCTGTCACTCACAGACTGTGTGCTATAGCTCCTCCCTGTAACTTTTTTTCTCTTGGTGTTAAGAAGTGACTCAGGCAGATAGCAGAGGAAAGAGGCTGCAGACAGAAATTACACTTGGTACTCTGGATAGAGAAAAGTACACACTATGGAGGGATATGGTTTGTTCATATTTTAGGTCAGAGGGCATATTTAATGTCCTTAAGGCCGACTTTCAGCCCATGTTTACATCTCCCTGTCCAACAGAAGCCAGTCGTGAGTGAGAACAGGCATGATGAAAAACCGGCAATCAATGTGTTCTGAAGGAGGACAGCCCCTCTGTCAAAACAAAAAGGCACAGCGGGGGAGATTGCTGCACTAACATCACTTGTGTACAGCAATCTGTTTTTTTTTTTTTTTTTTTTTTTTTCAGCTGGGATGAATGAAGAAAAAACTTCTTGTGTGTAGCAGACTTAAGACCTGTGATCCTAAACGCCTATTGAAGATGTTTGCTCTAGGGTCGCTGGTTCTGTACCTGATTTCTGTAACCTGCAAATTGGTAGTTATGGGTTATATAAGTTTGCATATTGTTTTTAGTTCAGGTAACCTTGACATCCTGATTGCCGCATTTCCTACTGTGCATTTCCTATTGTTTGGTACAAGATCTCCTGAGACAAGTAGCAGAATGTTTCTGGAGTCTTGCCTCAAAAAAGTTGGAACACTGAATATAACATTTTATCTTTATGTGCGATCTATCATCCCAGGGATGAATGCAAGGAACAAGTGGATCGTTTTGCAGGGGCCAGGTACAAGAAGTTTGCCTCCGAGGAAGAAGCCTTGAAGTTTATAGGGGAAACTGAAGGAGCCCCCTCAAAAATTTCAGAAAGTAAGTTAAAGAAGGAAGTGTAGGACACAAGTTTTGATTCAGGTGTACTAAGTGCTCTTCAGATTCTATAACCCTGTTAGGTCTGTTGAAACTTCGCTTACTGCTGTAGCCCTCTGTGATTGGAGGAAGTGGGTGTATCTTCATAGTCAATTTGTTTTGTATTTGCGAATGGTTATAAAAGTTCTAATGCCCACTTGCCCTGACCCTTAGGTGCATGAATCTCTAATCTTTTGAGTATTGTTTCCTTTTGGCCAAATCTGACTGTTCTGCACTGTATTAACTTAGCAGGTATGTCCCTATCCCCCTCTTGGCACTAAAGCCTTCTCTCCCCACTTAACATTGTACTCCTACTGTAAATTGCAGCTGCTCTTCTGCAGCAGCCCCTCTCTCAGATACTCTGTAGGTGGGGGACAGAGGATTTGGCGGTGCTAGGTGGACTCTGAACTAGAAGGGGGGGGTTGTAAACTGGCCTGTGAGGTATGCATTCCTGAGCTCTACACTCTGTATGCAACTCACTCCTGAACTCTGCACTCTGTACGTAGCACACTCATGAACTCTGCACTCTGCATTGCTCATTCCTGAGCCCTGCACTCCGTACACAACTCACCCCTGAACTCTGCAGTCTGTACTTGGCACACTCATAAACTCTGCACTCTTTGCATAGCACATTCCTAAACCCTGCACTCTGTACGTAACACACTCCTGAAGTATGTATGCAGTGCACTCCTGAACCCTGCATGTAGTGCACTCCTGAGCGCTTTACTCTGTATGCAGTGCACTCCTGAACCCTGGACACAGTGTGCACTTGAACTCTACCCTGTGCAGTATGCACTACTGGTATTTAACAATGCTCCATTAGGACCCTTCCACTTTTAGGCAGTGGTGCAGTGGGGGCGTGGTTGAGTTCCTGCACCTATTCTCTGAGAAAAAGCCCTAGTGGGCTGTCCCGTCCCACCAGGACACCCGATCAACCAGCCAGCACTTCCACTGAATGATCATAGAGGTGGACAAAGACTGGAACCACTCTGTCTCTATGAAATCGTAAACAGGAAGCAATGAGCAAATATCACCACCAGTTTCCCGGGCACCATTTTTAAAAATGGAAAGCACACCGATCTTGATGTGATCAAATGCTTTTAAGGGTAGAGGAGGGATCTGGGATCTTATTGACCCCAGATCTCTCCACACAGAGTACCTGTCACAACCTATGGTCACAAGAAATGTTTAAAAAATATATACAGTTTGGGGGTTCTAGGACATTTTCTAGCAAAAACTAAAAAAGAGTGATCTCTATAAAGCCCTTTTTTGTTTTTAAAAGCCCAAGACATTCATAAAAGCACCTCTATCTAATAAGAAGCATCAAGCCTTCCTATTTTCCATCCTGGGGAAACAATTGTTTTCTTTTTTTCATCAGGTCAAATAGATTGTTATGAGGAACAAGTAGATTGGGACCCTGATTTAGTCTCTTGGACAGGTCGTTTTTTAAAACATTTCCACACCCCTGGAATCCTATTTCACATACTCTTATATCTTTACCTAACTGTCCCCAGTCAGTTAATCATTTAGTAAATTAAACTAGTCTTTCTAGCCATTTCCACATTATCAAAGTACAGCTAAAGGTTCCTGTGTGACAGTCTAAACACGTCCCAAATCCAGTTACTATGTGATACATAAGCCTCATAAGGCAAACAAAAACAATTCCCTTTACTTTCTCTTACTGAGCCATATCCTTCTTTGTGTTTCACATGCTCTCTCCCCTAGACACTGCAGCTCACAGACAGAGGGTTTTTGCAACAGAAGCACTGTTGCGACTCCAGAAATCAGTGGCCAGGGCTGGGAGTGGCCTGGTTCTGATTGACAAGCTGGTGTGTCACTCCACAGTGCTAATAGAAACACCCCCTGCAACATTTTTCATCTATTGTAGTGCAAGCAGGCACAGCTTACGTGAGCAATCCTACTCTGAACTCAAATACAGTGCAGCTGTATTGCCACACTATTACAGGAAGCTGCAGCAGGTGAGCTTTGCTGGCAGGATCAAAAGGTATTGATGAGGCTTTGCAGTAGTATTAAGAAAAAAAATATAAATGCAGTTGCATATATTTCCCCAATGATCTTCCAAGAGAGAAACCTTAGAGATGATTGGTTCCTCCCAGTACAGGAAATGCAAGCCAAAACAGTGAAAATCCCCTCCCACTTGAATAAAAAATTGATTGTTGAAATCCAAAGTGCTGAAGTGGTTACTGTCTGCTTGTCTCACCCAAATAATTAATAGTAAATTGTATTTTTTTTTTCTAGGCAGTTGTGACACACAGATTCCTTCCAAAAGCAAAGAAACGCAGCACCATGTAAATCCTTCATTCTGTGCTAAAAGGCCATTTCAGCCTTCAATTTCTACTAAGAACCCGCCTTCACCTAAACGAACCAAACTGATCGACATTTGTTCCTTACCGCCTATGCCTGGGCATTCGTTTACTCATATGGGTATATTCCTATTATTGTTATTATTTCTATTATTATTATTGCTATTGTCTACTCAAGCTTTTACTATATAAGTGAAAAAAGACAGAAAAAAATGTTTTATTTCTACATTCTGTTATAAAACGTATTCGGTAGAAATAAATCTAATTTCTTCATAAATTTAGGCTAAAATTTAGTCTTTTGTATGTCTTTGTTTAAAAAAACCAAAACATTAAGGGTGTATTAAGTAGTTTGTGCGAAAGTTATGTGGTCTTTTGAGGCTTTCCCTCCTTATGGAGGGTGTCAATGATGGATTTCTGCATAACTGTCAGGTCAGCAGTCTTTCCCATGATTGTGATTCCTACTGAACCAGACTGAGAGACCATTTAAAGGCTCAGGAACCCTTTGCGGGTGTTATGGCTTAATTAGCTGATTAGAGTGGGATACTTTGAGCCTAGAATATTGCACCTTTTCACAATATTCTAATTTTCTGAGATAGTGGATTTGGGCTTTTCATAAGCTGTAAGCCATAATCATCACAATTATGACAAATCACGGCTTGGACTATCTTGCTTTACATGTAATAAGTCTATCTCAAATATTAGTTTCACCTTTTTAAGTTGCATTACTGAAATAAATGAACTTTTGCACGATATTCTAATTTTTTGAGTTTCACTTGTATACTGGAATTTATGCAGCTATAACTCTATGCTAGTATTTGTGGTGGGCAATTTGGCACTCACTAACGCTGCCTGTGAGGTACATTAGCAGACACTGACATCAATAGCGACACTAATACAGTGATCAGTGCTAATACTGCACACTGTCACTGTACTAATGAGATTGGCTGGGAAGGGGTTAACATCTAGGGGCAATCAAAGGGCTGTGTGCATAACAATGTGTAATATGTGCTGCTTTTACTAATAGATGTCACTGAAAGCAGGGAGAAGAAACAGCTGTGTTGTTGCTCTGTGTACAAAGCCTTATGTTTGTAAACACAGGGCTCTGTGCTGTTACTCAACACTGAAGATCAGCAGGTCCCGGCCATAAATTGCTGGGAGGAACTAATGACAAAATCGCACCCTGTCCAACCACAGCAGGGATCAGCCACGGGTGTACGCTCGTGTGCCCCAGACCCGGAGGCAGGCTTGCAACGTTTATTTACGTTGCTGAGTCTGCAGCTGTCCTCCATCACAGTACATCTACTGTGACAGGATGGCAAGTGGTTAATGTTGTTTTTTTTTTTTTTTTTTAATGAAAAGAGAGGAGAATCTTAGTGTTACTAAACCCAGGACCCTGCATTCATTATATCTGGTCTCCCACAGTACACAGTACATGAAAATCCTATATTTTAGTAAATATAAACTGCTAAATACCTTTTCTCTTCTCATCAGCAGTTAGAGCAGTCTTGTGAGTTGTGACATCTATCAGTTTCCAGCTGAGCACTGGTTAAAGCTTGTAGGATGAGTTTTCATTCTCCTCTCACTCCCCTATGAGATTGCATAACCACTGACCCTCTGTTTGGACAGTGCTGATTGGCCCTGTGCTGACCACATGCACCCTTCCAAGAAAAAGAAAAAAAAACTCTCTAGCAGTACACACCAAACTAAGCATGTGCATAGTGTCCTCGAGGCTGTGTTCTATCTAGAGGTGAAATGGGGAACGTGGAAAAAGGGGAGAATCAGAGAAGACAGGATCAAACCTCCTTGTTACACGATGCAGAGGATTAACCCCTTAAGTTCCATGGTGAGTATTACAAGCATGCTTTACTGCATATAAAGACTGATTTTACTGTTGTGGATTTAGTAACCCTTTTAAGGTGAAACTACAAACCAAATGTATTTGTACAGGTTTTGCATAGAATGTGTAGAAATGCGTTTTCATTTCTAGCTGTGCTCATGCTGAGGTGATTATACTTTACATCCTACATTGACAGTGCTCCTCCATCCCAAAAATGCAGTGCTCAGTGCCTGCCTCCAATGAGGTGTGGGGGGTATAGTCATTGCTTGCATAGCATGTTTGAGGGTTCATTTGGGAATTAGAATGTTGACTGCTTTACAGCTGCAAGGGCAATCTGATTTTGTGACCCAGTGACAAGTTTGCTTTAACACAATATCTCGGATTTGCAGTTGAGTGTCAGTCTATAGAGTGATACCAAGGTTGATCTAATGCTACATGTGGATTATTTTAACAGGAGATGCCATGTGTGTGTACACTGATGGTTGCTGCTCACAAAATGGGAGACTGAAATCACGAGCTGGAATTGGAGTTTACTGGGGACCAAATCACCCTCAGTAAGTTGGCTGGCTTTGCAGTTGTTTCTTATCCATGCGAATATTAGAATGAAAGCCGTTCTTGATCTGAATATTTTTTCAAATAATTAAAGCTTCACTTTAAATGTTGTGAGTTTTTTGGTACAGCTGTAATCTCATAACTTGCCTTTAATTAGGCATGTCCCATGTCATGCATACTAATGGTTCCTGTAGAAATCTTCTCTCCAGTGATGCTCAGTCCTATCCATGGTGCTTGACTTTTAGCACTGCAGTGGTTGATAGCTTCGGATCTAACACTGAAGAAACCCTTAAATTTCAGCTTTGAAGCAGAACTAAAGGGGTGAAAATGTACCTGTCCCACCAGTCCCTCACTGGCATCTTCTCAGTCCTGTTCTTCAGGCCTCTTCATTGGCCTGCACAGGAGCTAGTGATCCTGGCACTGTAAGCTGAGCTGTGTATGCACCTGTAAGGTTACAGCGCCGGAGAAAACGGCAAGCCGGCTGGTAAGGGCATTTTATTGCAGTAAAGCCTGCCTTGCTTGTTGTTTCTTACAGTGGAACCTTTAGTTTCAGTTTAGAGATATGTCTTATGTCAATCTGTCTATGTAATGATGTAATACAAACAAAATCTCTATCAATGAGAGCCCACTTATAGGGGCTTTAACCTCTTGTCTACCGGGGCATTTTTTTTTTTCTTTTTTTGCACACGTTTAAAATCTGCTTTCTATTTTTTTTTCTCCCCTAGAAATTGCTATAAACCCTTCTATAAAATTACTATAAACATTTCTGAAAGCAGAGACCCAGGAAAAAAAAATGGTGGTAATTGCAATATTTTATGTCCCTCAATATTTGTGCAGTTATTTACCAAATGCATACTATTAGGGAAAAAAAATACACTAAAATGAATTTCAGTGCAAACACAATATTCTACCAATTTGTTGGTATACTATAAAAGATGGGGTTGCATCGAGTAAGTAGCTAACAAGCATGTCAAGTGTCAAAATTGCTCACGCCAGTGGATCCACAAAATAGCTATGGTACCCAAAATTCTCCATAGGTTTCACTTTTAAAAGCCTTTTACAGGTCATCATTGTAAAGTCAACAGTGAGCTATGGCCCTAGAATTATTGCTCTCACACTGATGTTTGTGACGATACCTCACATGTCTGGTATGAATAATGTTTACATACAAATGTTACGTCCTGTGCTGCACTTTTTATATGGGGTGGGGATGATGAGGGTGCCTTCAGTGTTTTTATTTATTTTATACAAACATTTTTTTTTTTACACTTTATTTTTTTTACTTTTGTACTAACATCCCCCTATGTGATAGCATGGGCAGATGACAAGTACGCTTTATGGAGATGCTGGGAGTCTTGTCAGGAAAACTTGTCAGAAATGAAACGTGCAGATAGCAGAGGAATGAGGCAGTAGACAGAAATGACACTTAGTTCTGTGGATTAAGACAAGTACACAATATAGAGGGATTTCATGGCAAAGGTTTACAACTGCTGTTGATTGAGAAAGTTTAGTTCTGCTTTTGCCTTTCCTAAAGGAGAATTAAATGCCTGGAAGTATAAGCTGATACATGACTTATTTTGTTTAGGTCTTGCAGAGACCTTGAAGCTTTTTTTTTTTTATGAGGGCATTGTACATGTAAAAGTGTAAGGGATCCCCAATACAATACACATGGTCACCAACTGTTGGTATTACTTTTTTTTTCCATTTATGAAAGCTAGATTTTATGCCAGTTATCATGACCTGTGAGCCATGATTAATTCATATCCATGATGAACTAATCTGCATGTGGTTGCCAAAATGTTAAACATTGCCATTTTGTTTCACTAAAAATTCATTCTAATATTATGTTTACATAAATTATCAAATTGCCAGACTGAGAAGAAAAGTATTCTATTCATTCATTTTAGAGGCATTTTAATCCTTTTTTTTTTTTTTTTTTGTGTGTGCCAGTGCTACTAGTATGCCAAAGAGTTACTACTGTTTTCCCAGCTTCTGTTTGTGTTTTAAATAGGAATGTGGCAGAAAGACTTCAGGGAAGACAGACAAATCAGCGAGCAGAGATTCAGGTAGTTGATTTTTTTTTTTTTTTTTTTAGTAAAGTAGTGGGTTTTTTTAAAAATAACTTTTCTGTGTGGATTTAGTTGAAAATGTATGTAAATTTTATGTGTGTACGTTATAGAAGAAGCTATATTAACACACTTTAAGGTTCCATGCCCACTAGCTTTTTTTTTTTTTTTTTTTTTTTTTTTTTTTTTTTTCTTTTTTTCTTGCTCAAAAAATGCTGGATACAAAAGCTGGTAATAGCATTTTTTTAGTAGCATTTAGGAGCTGTAGCATTTTATTAGCGTTTTTACATTGCAGGGAAAAAAAGCTAGAAAAAAAGTTGTTAGCATTTTTAGTAGTGTGTTTAGCGGTTTGTTTTCTGTTTTTTGTTTTTTCTGCCATAAGAATGCTCCCAAAAAACAATTTTTTTTTCTGCTCCTAAACATTGAAGCTTGAACACGTCTAGCCTAAAATAGTGTGCGTGGACACATAGGGGTTTATTTACTAAAGCTGGAAAGTGCCAAATCAGGCTCACTTCTGCAAAGAAACCAATCGGCTTCCAGGTTTTATTGCCAAAGCTTAATAGAACAAGCTGAGGTTAGAAGCTGATTGGTTTATCTGTAGAAGTGAGCTTCTCCAGCTTTAGTAAATAAACCCCATAGGATAACACTATTTAGCTTCTAGGAGCTTAAAAGATGCTAGTGTGCATGGAGCCTAAGGATGTTCTTTCTTGGCTTGGATACAATTTCCTGTAACAATTGTAACCATTACCTATAAACCTTTTTTGCTTGTGTCCTGTTCTGCCTTGTTAAAATCTAACTGTATGCTAAAGGAAAGGGTCAAAGTAAGCACTAGGCCGATATGGTCTATGATCAGTAGCTTTGGTACCTGATTTCCTGTGATCTACCCATTATACTGGATTGCCTACTCAGTGTTTACATCTTCCATCACTGCTTAGGGCCATAAAGCTTACCCACACCTAAGCAGATGCCGGCACAGCTATCAGTGTTATTACTGGTTGGCCAGCTTTGAAGAATGCACACAAAATGTGCCTCAGCATTACCACATTACAATTATCAGAATAAAAAAGTGACTTGTAGGTTAAAGGTAGCTTAGAACACGTGATGTCTGGCTAAAAGGATAGGATCTATTGTTTGCAGTTGGACAGACCAAGTGTGCTAGGTCTTGCTGAGATGCAGTGGTCCGCAAAGTACAACATTTCAACAAAAGTCAAACAGAGCCATTGTACATAATGACCAAATGAGCCTGACCCATAAATAAACTTAATTACATTAAACCGCATTGGTATCTGACAAAGAGTACTTTTGACCTTCATAATGAGCACATTTAAAAAGTAAATGGACATGACTGTTAATTTATAGTGTATCTCTGTTTAATGCTGATATTGTCAAATACAATGTGTACATATGTGCTCTGCTTGGGGTGTCTTGATTCCAAGGAGCACGACTAATTCTTACAACAAGGGTTAGGTTTATTTACAAACAGGGATAAAACTCCATAATATTTACAAATAAGGAATTGGGGTAACATACACTGGGTAGGGGAAGGAGTGAGGAAAGGAAAGAGATCTATAAGCTCCTATACACACATCCTCTTTTTCTTCTATTCTCTCATGCCAGGGCCCTTTGTCCAGACCTGAGACCGACACCCACAGCTGGGGGTTGGTAATTGCAGTCAGTGATATCTTGAACAAAAGGTCATAAAGCTCCTTCCTGTCCCAGGTTTATAATTGCATTCCTGATCAGATGTCCACATGGTCTTCCAGCCCAGGAGGTAAACTGTCATTGTATCCAGATCTAGGCAGTAAACCCCTGCAGGGGGTCCTAGTATTCAGAATGTCCACTCCATTCTTCCCTCTTCAGGTGTGGGGGCTGGGGTCTTACTAGTCAAATGTTCATGAACTCTTGTATTTACCTAGCCCCTGTTGAAGTTGGCTGGCTGTGCAAATGTCCATATTTTAGTTCATGTCCAAACTGCAAATAATATACATTTTTATTAACTATTGCACAAGGTTAATTACATTTTGTAAATTACAATTTTTTTGTGCATTTGTCAGTCTTTATTAACAAAAACAGAGCTGTATATGTTTGTTTTGGGGGGTTTTTTTTTCCTACAATTTTTTTTTTTTTGTTTTATGTTCTTTAAAAATAGGCATGTTGGCAAGAGTTTTTACAGTCATGTTAGCTGATGCTGTTTAACCACTTACCCTCCATAGGATATACGGCTCTGCTTTATCTTAACTGACAATTGCGCGGTCATGCAACGCTGCACCCAAATTAAATTTATGTCCTTTTTTTTTTTTTCCACCCCATGAATAGAGCTTTCTTTTGGTGGTATTTGATCGCCTGTGCCTTTTTTTGCGCTATTAAAAAAAAAAAAGACAGCCAATTTTGAGAAAAAAACAATATTGCTGACTTTTTGCTATTAAACGTTTCCAGTAAAAAAACTAAAATAAAAATCAATGTTTGTCATTAATTTGGGCCAAAATGTATTCTACTGCATGTCTTTGCTAAAATAAAAATCCCAATACGTGTAAATTAATTGGTTTAAGCGAAAGTTATAGCATTTACAAATGGCGGTGTGTATATATACTGGGATTTATTTATTTATTTTTTTTACTAGTAATGGTGGCGATCAGCAACTTATAGCGGGACTGCGACAGGCATTCTGACACTGGGGGGGAACTGACTTGGTGTCACTGACATCCCCAGTGACACTAATACAGTGATCAGTGCTAATAAAAAGCACTGACACTGTACTAATGGCACTGGGCAGGAAGGGGTTAACGTGGGGTGATCAAAGGGTTAACTGTGTGCTGTTTTACACTGTGTGGCTGTTTGTGCTTCACTGTAAGCACACTGTTTTGCATGGCTGTGGGATTTTCATTTACTCTCACTGTTTATGATAATGGTAAACAGGACAAATAGAGAGGGTGAATCTCCCTAAAGGCGCACAGACATCAATAAAAACTGATGAGAGAGAGAGAATGAATATATCACGAAACGGTTAATTTATTTCAATAATTCAATTAAAAAAGTTAAACTCATATAATATATAGATTCATTACACACAGAGTGATATATTTCAAGCATTTCTTTCTTTTAATTTTGATAATTATGGCTTACAACTAAAAAAAACCCCAAATTCTGTATCTTAGAATATTACGGAAGACCAATTAAAAAAAAAAAAAAAAAAAATACAGAAATGTTGGCTTACTGAAAAGTATATACAATATAGTATGCACTAAGTACTTGGTTGGGGCTTAACTGCATCAATGTGGCGTGGCATGGAGGTGGTCAGCCTGTGGCACTGCTGAGGTGTTATGGAAGCCGAGGTTTCTTTTGATTGCGGCCTTCAGGTCGTCTGCATTGTTGGGTCTGGTGTCTCATCTTCCTCTTGACAATACCCCACAGATTCTCTACGGGGTTTAGGCCAGGTGAGTTTGCTGGCCAATCAAGCACAGTGATACCATGATCATTAAACCAGGTATTGGTACTTTTGGCAGTGTGGACAGGTGCCAAGTCAAGAAAATGAAATCCGCATCTACATAAAGCTGGTCAGCAGAGGGAAGCATGGAATTAAAAGAAAGAACTGCTTTAAATATACCACAACCAATACCAATGAATCTATAGAATGAGTTTCACTTTTTGAATTGAATTTACTGAAATCAACTTTTTGATGATATTCGGTGTCCTCAAGGACCTTGAAATCCTAAGGTCTTAACTAACATTCATTCATACATACTAGGGCCAATTTAGACAGACAGGATCCAGTAAACCTACAAGTATGTCTATGGAGTGTGGGAGTAAACCGGAGTACCTGGAGCAAACCCATGCAGTCACAGGGAGGACACGCAAATATAAGTGTTATAGGTGTATACTGTTTTGTGTGCTTAAGTTGATGGCTCTTTCATAGTCCTTCAAGCATTAAAGAGTATGTAAATTCAACATTTCATATTCCTGGTATGTGCCTGCTGTACCATGTACTTGTATGAAAAAATATCCTGTTCTCTTTGTATTGCTTTCTTTGCATGAAAAACTTGGTGTTCCTGCCAGTCCCTTTTTGCTTTCCTATTAATAACAGACTACACGAAGTAGGCGAACACACACAGTGGTCAGTTTTCTAGCTGTGCTGGGAACTCAGCCTGCTCTCCGATGATTAGACTTGTCTTGACCCCTGCACAGCCTTTCACTGGAAAGATTGGTGTAGTGCTGTTTCTCCTGTCCCAGCTCCTATGCAAAAATTAAACACTTTTTTTTTTTTTTCCTTTTTTTATATCTATACACAAATGTTCTGCCTTGTACTTTTAAATAGGTTGTTTTACAGTCTGAGGGTTTACATATACTTTAAACACAGTTATATGAACTGCTTCTTTGCGATTTACAGTATTTAAAGTAGTATTGAAGTTCCCCTTTTTGTTACATGTTACAGAGGCATCTGGAAATACAGTAATCATTTCTTTCATTCAGGCAGTGGGTTGAAAGGGGAAAAAAAAAGACCCAATTTACCCCATCCACACACTCGATGTGGATGGGGGAATCAATTGTGTTCTGATGGCGAGGAGACCTCCCGACAGGCTGGGCTAAATCCTTGCTGAACCGGACTAATTTCAATCCCTGTATGGCCACCTTTTAAGGTGTCTGCATTCTTGATGAAGTAGTAAAGCAGACACCTTTTGTCCATCTAGGGAGAGAGTAATGTTAGACTAGCAGATTTACCCTGGGTTCACACTAGCCCGCAGGGTGTGGGCTGGTTGGGGTGCAGGAATCGCACCTGTTCCCACACCTGCAACAACCTATAGCCGAATTGCAGTGCTCCTGTGAGACGTGCCGGGATACCATTCATTCTGAATGGCACTCCCCACACATCTCAGTCTGCATTATGGGTGCAGGAGCCTAAGGGTCAAAAAGACCATGTAGTTTCCCTGTGGATGAATTTTGGAAAAGGTGCATGCACTTTTTTTTTTTTTTTTTTTCTGCAGGACACGCGACACAGTAGCCCATTCAAATGCATGGGCTGCCATGCCCAAGCAAACGCAGGCCACGTGTGAACTGGGCCTTAGATGGTCTTGACTAACAAATTAAAGCTGAACTCCAGCTAACAATCTTGAACTGCCTCCCGCCATTATAAGGTAATGACGGGTGGGCGGTGGTTCTCTAGTCCTATGACGTTCTCCCACTCTAACTGTGCGTGCCCTCGGGGGTGCACGGCGCGATGATCGGCAGTGCGCTGTGTCCCTGGGACACACCGGATCACCGATCACTGTAAAGAGCCAATGACGTTGGCCCTGTCATATGTCCAATCACAGCTGATGACATTTAAATAGGAAATGCCGGTTATCAGCAGTCCTCTCCTCCCGCTGACAACTCGTGAGAAGTGGAGAGCCAGTAATCGGCAGTACTCAGAGTGGACATATGAAGGAAGTCCTGCGCACACAAGGAAGTGAAAATGAATCCTATAGATATCCGCTGCTAACACTCAGAACTGATACCTTTAACCGTGATAAATTATATTTTCAAAAAATAGTGCAGCGCTGAGAATATATAGATACCAAACTGGTGCTAAAAATATAAATATAAAATGTGCCCCAATATATAAATGGTAATACAGTAAACATGCATCATGTGCTCAAACTATGTGCCCTCATAAATAAGTGAAATGAAAAATGCTCCAATATACACCTCTAATTAGATGATAAAGTAACTAAACACAGACCCCTCAACTCTGGGGGTAATGCAACTGTGATTGGTGCAAACGTGAAAACACTGCAAATATATAAATATGATATTTCAAACAAAAGTCCATAAACATTCAAATCGTATGTGCTTCAAAATCCTGAAATCATGCAACGTGCCAAATGGTGACGATATCTGTGAATAGTGTCAGCACACTTTATCCACACTGGCCAACCAAAATGCCTCCTCACCTCCTTTAATCAACCCAAAGGGCCACTTCACTTTCAGGATCACACCTAGATCCTACTCCAACCTGTGACTGGCAGTATTTCACCTGTAGTTTATCCTCTGAATAATACTCCAGACCTCTCAGGATGGATCAGTCCTGCTAAATATCCAATTCTCACCTAAATATAATTCTCACCGACGCTCATGGTGAGTGAGAGAGAAATCCTCCATAGTGTAGTAATGTTGATAAAGTCTCCTTTATTGTATGTAAAAAATGCCCACTCGCATGTCTCCCCACTGCAGATCCTCTTTCTTCATGTAAGGGTATACTGCATGGGTTAGGGTGTGTTCCAAAATGGCGTCCAACGCCGGATGTGCGTCACGACGTACCTATGTGTTACGTCACTTAAACTCATGACTTCCTCGGGGTATCCAATGCACATCAGTGTCACATATCTGTGCCCATCAGAGCTGCCTTTCAGTGCCGCCTAACATTTCGAATCAGTGATGCCTGTCAATGCCCACAAGTGATGCCTGTCCATGCCCATCGGTGCCGCCTATCGGTGCCTATCACTGCAGCCTCATTAGCGCACATTAGTGAAGGAGAAAAATTATTAGTTATTTGTAATTTAAAATAACATTTTATAATAGAAACTAAGAAAACAACTTTTTTTTTTTTTTTTTTTTCAGTATTTTTTTAGTTTAACAAAAAATAAAAACCCCAGTGGTGATTAAATAGCACCAAAAGAAAGCTCTGTCCTTTAAAAAAAAAAAAAAAAAAAATTTGTTTGGGTACAGTGTTGCATGACCGCGCAATTGTCATTCAAAAGCTGAAAATTGGCCTGGGCAGGAAGGGGGTAAAAGTTCCCGGTAGGCAAGTGGTTAAGCACTTACAATAGCAGTTCTTTTCTTTTGGGATAAAGGTTGTACGTAACCGAATAAAGCTGATCATTGTTGGCAGCCCTGTCACTGTTAACAGCTTCCGTTCGCCCTATAGCAGAAATACTGCTACAGGGCGGAACGGGTGCGCAAAATTTTGTGTGTGTGCGTGATTTTGCAGTTCTGGGTAGGGGGCACGCGCCCTACCCACACTGCCATTTGTGGCCTCGGCTGTCAATCACCGGGTCCCAGCCGGTGATTACTCACTAGCACCTGGTGATCGCCAAGTATTACTGATCGCCACCATTACTAGTTAAAAAAAATTTTTTCATTCCAGTGTATATATACCTCTATTTGTAAACACTATAATTTTCTTGTAAACCAATTAATTTACATGTATTGGGATTTTGTTTTGTTTTTTTTTTAGCAAAGACGTAGCAGCATACATTCGGCCTTTTTTTTTTTTTTTTTTATAGCGCAAAAAATATAAAACACACAGATGATCACATACCATGGAAAGAAAGCTATATTCATGGGGAAAAAGATGTAAATTTCATTTGGGTGCAGCATTGCATGACCGCGCAATTGTCCATTAAAGTAATGCAGCGCAAAAAATGGAGGTAAATCCTCTGGAGGGCAAGAGGTTAAATGATTTTTCTTAACTGCTACTTTGGATAGCTTGGTCTGTTAAAGTTGAAAAATAACAGACTTACTAGCAGGAACATCAGGTATAAATGAAAAAAGCCTAAAGGAAAACTAATGCAGCCACCATATCGAAAAATTAATGAGGTGCAAATTTAAAAAAAAAATTGGTTTTATTACCATTTTAGAGTATTGAAACTGATGAATTGTTTGAAATATAAATGAAGAAAAGTAACACTGAGTGTTTCCTGCAGGCAGCATGCAAAGCCATAGAACAGGCAAGAAGTCAGAATATCGCAAAGCTTGTGCTGTACACGGACAGTATGTTTACGATAAATGGTAAGAGCCATGGGGGATAATTCTTGCCACAGTATTCCCTTTTGTAATGCCCTATTTGCAGGTTGTCCATATATTTATTATACATGTCTGTCAATTTAGGTATCACTAAATGGATACATACATGGAGAAATAATGGCTGGAAGCTAAAATCTGGTAAAGACGTCATAAACAGAACGGACTTTGAAAAGCTGTACAAGCTAATGGATGGCATTGATGTCAAATGGGTCAGTATAACATATAGCAGCCTCTGTTTTTGAAGTAAGGGACAGCATATTTGCTACAGGTATACAAATCTTGTTACATTGCAGAAGTGTTTTGTGCCAAAGTGCATTTTTATTTTAAGCACCTTTTATGGGGCACCCTTTGTTTCTAAACTGTACATAGAGATTTGACTTCTACCCAGATCAGAATTTAAATTGTTAAATGGCAGAACTTCTGTGGGCTGTGTAGAGGCTCTGAGCATTTGACAGTTGATTGATAAGAGGTGGGACATATGCAAAGAAGGGCAGGATTTCACCTTGACACAAGCAGAATTGGAATCTTTGTGTATCCTGGACCTTAGATCCTTCAAAAAAAAAAAAAAAAAAATCCACACTGACATTTTTTTTTTAAGACTATGTAGTTTGTGGTGCCAGAGCATACCTGCATTAAATGACACGATGAATGCAGCTCTAATTATTAGTACAATATTAAATGTTTAATTGTAATGTGGAATTTTAGTCAGAAAATTAAGTCCTGCTAGATCACTTAATGCTGGCCCCCTTTTTGCAGATATAGTTATGTCAGACATTTAAAAATGAATGCCTATACTGTTTAAATTCCAGTAACACACTGTCTGACTCTGTTTTGCACATGCTCAGTTTCTCTCTATTTTTCAGCACCGTGCCATAAATGTAGATGCCGATCTGCTGACAGCCTAAAGATTTACTGCTGCTCAGAATCTCTGGGCTTCAGCAAAATGGCAGTGTCCAAAAAGAAGAAACTAGAACAATGCTGGAAGCAATTTTACAGCACACACTAATTTTGGTAGCATAATTCATAATGTGGAATGTATGTTCCTTTCTGTAGAGCATTATGTTTTATCAAGTTGTTATGGGTGAAGTTCTACTTTTAAATGCAAGCACCTCCACAGCAGGGTGGGAGTATGAAAGGAAGAAGCAGCACAAGGAGCCAATTGATTAATATTGAAGTGTGTTGCTAGGAATAGAAATGAGTGACTGAAAGATGAGCTCATCATGGTGCTGCTTCTATTTTCACTGTCTATTCAAAAGCTGGGGAGGATTCAGGACAACCTGGGTTTAGGGGAAGCAGGTTGAATGATGTTGGCCATCAGACTGAGGACATCCAGTGGCTGCAAAAAAGGGCTATGGGGTAAATCTTTGCATTGAAGGTAAATATTGCAGCAAAGCGGATGTTATTTTGTTCATTTTATGGGTTATTAATTTTTATCTTATTCTTATCTGGTGTTTGGGGTGCATTTACATAAACTGACCTTAAACCAAAACATTATTATTATTATTGTACAGTATTTATATAGCGCCAAAGGGTTTGTTCAGCGCTGTACAATAGCAAGGGGGACAGAACATGAGACAAAACCGTAACAATACAATACACAAGGGGTCGAGGGGCCTGCTCTTTCCAGCTTACAATCTAGGAGGGAGGGGAAGTGGTACATTAACAGACGTTACTGTTAGTAAGTAGTACTAATGCTTGCAATCCTCTGAAAGATGAGATTTCCTTTTGTGTCCTTTTACATAACTTGAAACATAAGCCTGGGAGATTCAAAATCTGCATTGCCAGTTTTGGATGGAGATGTTGCTGTACTCGCCTGCATTAGCAACCCTTTTCTTTGTGCTTTTTGTTGTTTGTTTTCTGAATCTTGACCTGCTGCTAAACCAAATGACAGGATCCAACAGACAAAGTGAGAAATGGAAATTGTATGCAAGACCCTCATTCATTATGCAAAGTACATTCTTTAACTTTTTGGATTCATTTTTACTGAGTTGGGTTAACTGTCTGTTATTTTTCCTGACCCATCATAATTGCAGTACTGGTGGCGTATTTTTTGTCATACCCCGTAGCTCTTTTTTTTTTTTTCATCACTTTGGACTATTTTAGTGTTTTTAATAAGCTAAATAACACTTTCTACCTTGCCTTGCAGATACACATCCCAGGACATGCTGGTTTTGGAGGAAATGAAGCTGCTGATAAACTTGCTAGAGAAGGTGCTCGAAAACCTGACACAAGTTCACTTTAGAATATATTCATTTTTAATAAAGCTTAAATGACCTTTGCTTATATGACCAAAGGCTTTAAATGTAGTAATCCAAACGTATTTTCTTTTATTACATGTCTGAAATAAGAATAGCCCCTAATGGTTTCCAGACACCATGAAAACATAAGTTTACTTGAAATGTATGAAAAATACAGTCTGCAACCATCTTTCATTGTTGACATTGAGAGAGATGACAGGTGTAATATGATTGGTTTATTTTACAGTGCTCCTTGCTTTATTAAATTAATGCAGGACGTTAATGTAACCTTTTTTGTTTTTATTTCTATAGGAAAAATATGGGCTACCATGACTGACCTTCTGAAAATGCGTTATCTGGCTGCCTGTAGTTGCACTACTGACTAAATTCACTTACCTGTAGCAAGTATGCAGACATGGAGTTCTGACTTCACTTGCTGTAACCTTGTTTCATGTCTGTGAGATGGATAGTTTCAAAGCCAGAGACCTGTGCAGGCAAATAAAATTTTCTGGAGGTCCTAAGTGGCAGCCTACATATTATTATTATTTTTTTTTTTTTGCATTACAGGTTCCTTTTTAATGAAGGCAAATACTGATTGTCATTAGTGTTGCTCATATTGACAAATGCCTCCATCACTTCAGTGTTTGCTGTAAAATTCTTTATTTTTGTTCTGCGCCATATTTAATAAAATGTTGTAAAAGGATTAAAACTGGGAAATGTCTTTTTCTCTTATTACAGCACATACATGGGCAGTTGCCTTTGGGGTTACAGGTGCTGATTACCACTTGATGTTTGGCTTTGGGGCTACATACAGACATTTAGATGACCACTATAAAACATGGAAATCATGTCCACTCAGCTAATATGTTCCAATTGCACGAGGAAGCTCGTGACTGAGTTAAACAAGTTTAATTTTAACAAAGTGGTAAAGTATTACTATGATTCCTAGGATAGCAGAAAGGCCAATGTTTTATACCCTAGTACAGGGGTCTGCAACCTTTAAGACATAAAGAGCCACTTGGACCCGTTTCCGAGAGGGAAAAAAAGACTGGGAGCCGCAAAACCATTGCAACATTTAAAACCAATCCGACACTGCATATATTGCGAAAAGCGCTCTGGTTATGAAGGGGGTTTAAGGGCCCAGTAAGCAAAGGGTTAACCAGGGCCACAGTGTATCGTCATAATCAAAATCATAGCCTTAGGTCAGTGGTGGGCAACCTTTTTTTTCAACTGAGCCAAATCTCGCCAAAACCACGATTGAAATTTATTTTGAGGGAAACATTTTTAAAACTGAAAATACATCCCCCATATAGTAATTCATCCCCCATAGTAATTCATCCCCCATATAGTAATTCATCCCCCCTATAGTAATTCATCCCCCATATAGTAATACATCCCCCATATAGTAATACATCCCCCATATAGTAATACATCCCCCATATAGTAATTCATCCCCCATATAGTAATTCATCCCCCATAGTAATTCATCCCCCCTATAGTAATTCATCCCCCCTGTGTCAATTCACTTACCTTTGCTCCGCGCGTTCCTCTAGCTGTGTTCCCGCGCCGTTCTGGTCTTCAGGGCGGACTGTGAGAGGAAAGGAGTTCGTCACGCTGCCCCGCCTACATCCTGACAGCCAATGTTTGGAGGAGGGAGGGGAGCGGGCGCCCGGCACATAGAAGAGCCGCATTAAAAGAGCCGCGGCTTGCCGACCCTATTGCCTGTCACCTGGTGGGCAGTGTGCTCCGGAGCCGCAGGAAAGGTGAAAAAGAGCCGCATGCGGCTCCGGAGCCGCGGGTTGCCGACACCCGCCCTAGTATGTGTTGGCTATGTAAGCTCCCCAAAGCGCTACAAAAGCCATAAGATGTCCCCCACCTCTTATGGATTGGATGGGGGTGTACCTTAATGCAATAGTAAATTTATCTGTAGGCTTGAGTCCCTTTTTTTTGTTTTCTTTGCCACAGTGTTTACAGGATACTGAGTGTGAGGACTTGTCGGTCTGGGTACTGGAACCTGACTTGAATAAATTAATGTTTTGATGCAGGATAGCAAATGTGTGGGTCCTTGGCAGAAATTAGCTGAACGTACCTGGGTTTGGTTCGTACAGGTTCCCCCAAAAAAGAAAAACCTGCGTGGGGTTTCTTCTAAAACTGCGTACCGGACCCTTATCGTTAATGGCAGTCTAGTGTGGTTAAGAGGGACTCCAAACAATATTAAAAAGGAAAAAAACACATTGCAGACCTTATCCGAGCATGCAGCCTGACAGGCCAGAAAAAGACCGAAGAAGGGGGACGAGCACGCACAACCCCCTAGATATTTTCATAAGAAGGAGTAGGGCTTACTCACAAAAAAGTATAAATAGACACATTTCTGGCAAGTCATTTGTTTAAAAAATGTGGCCTTATTTGGTCCGTGCAATTGCTGCCACTTTTACATGGCCGGGGATTTCCAGCCCCCAAATGAATGTCACTGATTACTAAGAATGCAGTAGGTGCTCCTTTAACAACCAATCACAGAGGAAGCTGTCATATAAAGTAGCAGTAGAGAAACGTTCGGACTAATGCCCAAACAAGTAAAGTTCATCCCTAGTCCTTAGCGTTGTGCAGCTTGGGTAGGTGAGTACTCTTACTTGCATATATTGCCTGCGGTCATATTCAGCACACTCCTCTCCACATACTGACATTTATACACTTGGCGCTCATTTACTGCATATAGTTCTCCTTCTGTATGTATTGGCCATTGTCTTACCCACTACACTCTTCTCCCACACATACCACCTGCCACCACGCCTTGTAGATTCTGTCCTGGAGATACTGCTCCACACCATAACCTCCACACTTCTATCTTGCACATATTTTTCACTGTCCTACCCTCTGCACTCATCTCCTGTACATACTAGTCAACATCAGCCCTCTCCACATACTACCTCATGTCATAACCTTTGAACTGCTGTTCTGCACATCTTAAAGCCAGAACAGTTATTCAATATTTGGATTACACACAGCCTTGTGTGTTCTGGAGAGCGCACAGTATTAAGAAACCTACATGCACTTCAGTGCTATTGAACACAAAAATGTGAATGTTTATGCATTGAGGTGCACTGCCAATAAGTACTGTACATATACAACACTTTTTTGCATTTTGCCTACAAAATAGCTCTCAGATAATTGTGCTTGTTTGAAAAGTGGTCCACATCACATCTTATTTATGTTGTGTTAATTCATAACACTTGCCACAATTGTGTGAAAATGGGCAGACTGGTCACAGAAACAACCAGGCCTTCCTGCAGAAAAAAGCTGGAAACTAGAGATTCGCAAGGCCCTACCACTGTAAACAATAAGTGTCTATTTGGGTTGAAAGTGCCAAAAACACTGATAAGATCTGGGCATAATGCATAGATGCATAAGATTTGGCAAAAATCGCAGACATGCCTCAAAACTATTTTCATTTAACATTCCAACCTTCTGGCTTGAAGAAATACATAAAAGAACACTGTAGTCAATTGCAACTGTTTGCAGGTCAAGCAGAGAAAGTTGTAATTAAAAATATGGAATCACTAATTTCTAAGGAACATATTATGAAATTATGAAAACAAAAACGCTACAGTATACCACTTGTACTTTGTTACACCACCTCTGGCTTTTATAACAGCTTGAATTCTGAGTCATGGATTTAACTATCGACAAATAGTATTCTTCATCAATCCGGTTCCAACTTTCTCTTATTGCAGTTGCCAGATCAGCTTTGCAGGTTGGGGCCTTGTCATGGACCACTTTCTTTCATTTTGCGCTAGCGCGTTAGAGACGGCTCCAACACGTTTCAAAATAGGGTTTAATAAAAGGTCAAAAATATTTAAAAAAAAAAAAAAAAGTAATTACAAAGTAACAAAGAGATGACAATGTAACAGAGAAATAAAAAGGTGACGGTGAGAATACTTTAACAATGTCCTGGTTTCAGCAGAGTCAAATGAGTAAGCAAAGATGGTACAGTGGCTCTCTCAAGTCCAGTTAAGTGTTCCTTGGTTTGATGTTAAACAAGAGCTGTCAAAATGTGGTTGCATTCCACTATTCTTCACATCAAGGGGGGTGTTGACAGAGACCATCTGACCAATCATCCAGTCTAAGGGGTGATTGCTGGGATGTCACAACGTTTATGACCAAGTCCCGTATACAGTTTTCATTTCTCTGAATACCTACCGTTTACAGACTGCTAACATACATATCATTGTCCAGCGTGAAATTAGCTTTGGGATGAATATAAATATGACAAGTTTCAGATGTCCAGTTTGCCTAGGAAAGGAATTGCGCAAGTTCTGTTCCCGCTACTCCTAGGTTAACAATGTTTGGGCTTAAAACACTACATATTAACTGCAGGAGGTAAATCTATCTATAGTCTGGCTGTGCTGTTATTATTTCATGAGTTATGAAATATACTGAAGTTTTAGAGTCTTGGCTGATAACCAGTCTATCAGGAATGTGTATTGGCCATCCTTCTAGCTGAGCTATTTATGTTTGGGTATCTGTTAAAACTCTGGTTTCTTAGGCTTGCGGAGTCTGATGTTTTTAATTGGGGTTTGTTTGACTGATAGGGTGGGGTCACTGTGGCTATGCCTTCTTATGACAAAATGGAATGAGAGACTTGGACTTGAACAAAATTGCTGCTACGCATACAGCTATTCATATGCCCAGTATGCATGAACATTACAATCAAAATTAAAGTTCAGTTTCCCAACTGACCCTAATCTCTTTCTCTGTGTAGTTTTTTCCCACAGCAGCTTGCAATACAGTGACATTATGGCCGCTTTGTGCCAACCCCCCCCCCCCTCATATAATGAGGGGGCTGGTTTATCCAAAAGCCCCTTCTTGGTCCTTCTAATTCAGCTGGCCATAGTTTAAAGTCTCCTGGGCAGTTGTGCACATAAATTGGCTGAAAAGATGAGAGTGAGCCTGACAATACTAAGTGAGTATAACTGCCAACATCCCTATCACTGATGCAAAACATTAC